AACCTAGCACTTTCCTGCTGGTACAAACAAAACCTGGCACTTTCCTGCTGGCAAACACAAAACCTTTAGGTGAGTGCAGGTTCCTGCTGGTACACACAAAACCTAGCACTTTCCTGCTGGTACACACAAAACCTTTAGGTGAGCGCAGGTTGGGCACGTACACACAAAACCTATGAATTTCCTGCTGGCAAACACAAAACCTTTAGGTGTGCGGAGGTTTCGGCCCCAACACACAAACAATGGACGAGCGAACAGTGGCAAATCCTGCTCGCGGTCGCCCGTTCAGAAGGAATTCCAGACGGAAATGAACATTTATTATCACAGTTAATAATATTGAAAAAGACAATAAACATCATTAAAAACAAATCATTCCGATGACAAACACATTATGTACGTAATGCGTTGGACGTTTGCACGTGAATGTAATATCGTCATGACCGAAAGATATTTGAAATTGGGAGTTTTATATTGTGAGCCTTGACTCGACAATGCTGGCAGATGTGGGATTTAATTTTCGGTAAAAGTAAATAAGTTGGAAGGAAAACCTAACCAATTACAAAAGTCTAATCACGTGTAAGAGAGATGTCGTTTCGTTATATTTCAAGACGGTCTCAATATTATTCTCCCTGTCGACGGGCATCACGATTGAGTATGATTTTACGCCGCCTTTAGCAATATTCCATGGCAGCAATATCTTGGAGGGGACACACATTGTACCCATGTGGGTAATCGAACCCGGGTCTTCAGCGGGACGAGCGAACGCTTTAACCACGAGGCTACCCCCACCACCATGCACCAGAACGAACGTGGTCCGGGCAAACGAGTTTTCACTGTAATAAGTTATGTTTGTTTGTTTGTTTGTTGTTTACCGCCACACTCAGCAATATTCCAGCTGCATGACGGCGGTTATTAAGTAATGAGTTGGTTATTGTGATTTTACTCCACTTTTAGCAAATTTTCAACATTCATAGGGCTGTGGGATAGCAAAGTGGTAAAAGCGTTTGCTAGTCACGAAACAAAAGATGTAACTATTTGTTGGATTCGAACCCCTAATTTCCTCATATCACGCCTGTCACGCAATCTGATCAGAGTTACCTCCCTTCTACAATGGTTTCAATTCGTTGTGGGCGTTCGACCACAGTTAGTCAGCGGCTAAAATACTGTAAAAGGCCTGCTTGAAAACACCTCGTAAATACACGTATAGGTAGGTGTCGCTTAGATTCCTATATTCACAATTAACAGATTGTAAATAATTCCTAGGAATATATGTTAACCCCTTGTATAGATTTAATAAGTTTCAAACTATATTTTCATACGCAGGTTATACATGTTGTGCAGAATATTCTATTTACAAGCAGGATCTGAATGTCGTGACCCAGTTTTAGACAAGCGTTAGACATGAGCTGAGAACTTTTGAGTACTTGAGGTCATGATACCCATGTAGAGATGAGATCTCAAGGAGTAACCGACACAAACACTTCACATAGGACAGATACAACACTGAATAGCGAGCTTACCCTGCTGATAAATGTACCGGGTTAGAATCGATCTTGAGCAACCCAAGAGACGACTGTGCTTGTCGTGAGAGGCGACTAACAGGATCGGGTGATCAGGCTCGCTGACTCAGTTGATGCAGACCGCCTCCGTGGTCTAGTGGTAGAGCGTCCGCCCGGAGAGCGGAAGGTCAGGGGTTCGATCCCCGGCCGCGTCATACCAAAATACGTTAAAAGATGGTACTTGTTGTTACCCGGTCTGGCGCTCGGCATTAAGGGGCTAAAAGAAGGACTGGTCGGCTCGGAGTCAGTATACTGTGTCTGAGTGGGGTATTCATGTTACACATGCGGCATCAGTCCGGACTAGTACAAGCAACCACACAAACACACACACGTACATGCACGTCGCTATATAAGTGCAATAATCTTGGACGCGACGTTAAACCCCATTTCAAATCACCAGTTGATGCATGTCATTGTATCCCATTTGCGTAGATCGATGTTAATTATGCCATTCACTGGATTGTGTGGTCCAGACTCGATTATTTACATACCGCCGTCATATCGGTTGGAGTGTGGCGTTAAACAAATGACTGATATCTGAATATGACTTTCATTAAGTATCATTAAGAATCATTAGATTGATTCTGTCGGAGAGACTTGAGCTTATAACTTACACTGTCACAAATCAACTGCAGTTGTTGCATGTCATGCTTGAGTCATTCACAATGTCTGCAGTTTCACATTGTCAGAATGTCCGATCACAAACAGCGGCCCGTTCAGAGAGATAATTCAGACCTCGATAACGCATTCATTCTGTGTGTATCGGCAGCTGTCTGACTACTGAGTTAACTATATGTAAGCTGGTGTAATATGTTTTAGTATAGTTTCAGTTTCATATCGTTTAACGCCGCACTTAGCAATATTCCGGCTCTATGACGGCGGTCTGTAAATAATCGAGCCTAGACCAGACAATCCAGTGATTGACATCATCAGCCTGGTTCCGCGCAGTTCAGATACGATGACACGCATCAACCAAGTCAGCAAGCCTGACCACCCGATCCCGTTGGTCGCCTCTTGTTTCAGTATATAAAAGACCTGTTTCCTTATACACGTACCACAAGTTGACATTACCGAAACAAATAATACTCACATAATAATAACAGCTATAAAGCGTCAACGCCAGAGAATAACCAGTCTCGGCTATCCGACGAAACTAATTCCAATGTGTGTAGAATGCAGTGAAAAATATATTAATGGATCACTAAAAATCAGTGATGACACTGGGTATTCGCAAAAAGGGTAACTTGCGTTATCCTAACTTTCAAGGATATTTTCAAAACGGAAATATTTTTACTTTGCTCTGAAAACAATAATGTATCATAATATGAAATATACTCCTCAGCTCAAAGATGTACGTGCGTGCCATCCGTCTCGTAATTCGATGTGTAGAGTTGCGTCCCTTAGTAGTGCCGGAACGATGCTCGGCGGTTCGAATCTTATATCGCCCTGATTATATTCGAATTCGTTGGTCTGTCAGCGGCATACCCGTGCTAAGACCTGCGCCCCTTCGTGATAGACAACGTACTAGAAACACTGAAGAAGTTATTATTCCTTACTCACTAGCAGACCGCCTCCGTGGACCAGTGCTAGAACGTCCGCCCGGAGAGCGGAAGGTCCGGGGTTCGATCCCCGGTCGCGTCATACCAAAAGACGTTAATAGATGGCACTTGACGTTACCCTGTCTGGCGCTCGGCGTTAAGGGGCTAAAACATGGACTGGTCGGCTCGGAGTCAGTATACTGTGTCTGAGTGGGGGGCTAGCACTATGAATCGGCATCAGTCCGGACTAGTACAAGCAGACAGACAGACAGACACACACACACACAGACACACACACACACACACACACACACACACACACACACACACACACACACGTCCATGCACGTCGCTATATAAGTGCAATAATCTTGGACACGACGTTAAACCCCATTTCACCTCAGCTTCTCAATAGCACAACCTTAGCTTCAGTCAGCTGATGCGTGACCTACGCTGTTAAGGTTAAAGTCCTCATACTATAGGTAGACCGTTGCCAGATAACCTAGATTTATAGCAGTGGCTAGACACTAGGTAGCCAGCTATATATATCAAGTAATCAGTAACACGATGTTAACGCAGGTATGTTGGAACGCTGTAATTTAGGCCACAACAATTTAAGTATTGGTTTATCGGACCCCATAGGCCTGCAGTTGCCATCACAAAGCAATGATCTGTCACTACTTCCGAACGCTGTCCGATCCTCTTTTTCATACGATCCAAAACACCATATTGAAAACAAGCACGCATGCTCGCACGCTCTCATTCAGGCACGCACGAGCTGTGTTCCCTTGCAATACAAAACAATACTCAGAACTAGACTTATTTTCACTCAAAACTATGACCACATAGTGTGTGAAGCTAACAGAGTAGCGTATTATGTCTCCCAGACCCAAGAGAATATATTGAAAAATGAATAAAAAATTAAGTAACATATAATTTGGCAGAATTTAATCTAGATTACTTTAGCTCTAGGCCTGAAATTAAGCATTGGTCTTGGCTCAATTTGGATTCAATTTGTTATATTTTGTAGATATGAATGTTTAAATAAGATACCTTTATTTCTTGGATTAAATGTTAGTTTAAGAGTAGGGCATCTTACGAATGAGTTAAGAGAGTTAACTGACTTTAAAAGTCCAGTTTCCACCCTTGCCGAACTAGGCTGGAATTCCTGGGCTCGATCGTAGCGCCACCAGTGGCTATTACGAGTTATGTCCTTTCTATGCCTCTCCTATTGACCAATCAGATTCAACCTCTCGTATCACTTGCATTTGCTTCAAACAAAACGGTGGCGCCCAGTCAAGACGATCTGATCGATAATCAAGATCTATATTGTGATAAAACGAGTCTTACATCGCGAGGTGCATCAAATCACGTGAGCACCTTGATTAAAAACATGAAAAGATTTAGAAAATATCTGTTGACAACGAGTTAGCGGTGCACATGCTTTGCAAATCCTGCAGTCGACCGAAATCTGCATGACACTTTACGAACCTACATCACTTTAGGCTTTTTTCTCCCACATCAATCGGACACGCCGTAATGTAACTGAAATACTGTTCAAAGCGGCATTAAACTCTCTCACTCACTCGCTCATGTTGACAAATGCCGGTTTCTAGGTCTCCTAAGGTGTTGCTAATGCTCACTTGAAATTCTCGTTCATTTTTCTCGGCTCTACCGTTACGCAGCATGAACTTGGAGAATTTACTAAGGTTACGGCAGAAATTCTGACGCAAATATAAGGAAATATGAAACGCTTTTTTTCTGTAGGAACCTACTGTGGGTACTACGGTAAATTGTTAGATATGTTTTCTTACGAAAAGTTTGGTTTCATATAATGTCAACCATTGCAATATTGGTCAAACTGCATCAACAATATTTAATTCACAGAAGGAACTCTATTTTCCAGGTATATTCATTATGGCGACCTCGTTCCCAGTGTTGTGCACCAGGGGGAGCTACTACGACGTCGGCTACAGCGTGGGCAGCACCTTCCAGTCCCGCATACAGACATACATTCAGAAGTCCTTTCTACTTCAGGACACGCTGCTGCCCTTTTACGACTCTCGCGAAGGACGAGATTTCGTGGAGGCCATGTTAAGCATGACGGAGAAGAACTTTCCTAAGTACGTCGACGAAGTCCGGGGAACTGCTCAGGGGGCGGGGCTGCCGTTTGAGACGTTGTTCGTTAATGACTTACTTATGGAGATCTACTTCGGCTACAATCAGAAAACGCCACAACTGACAAGAGAGGACCTCGGATGCAGCACCGTTTATATCAACCGCCCGGATGTTAAGGTCATAGGTCATAACGAAGACGGTGAGGACATTGCAAAGACATTCGGCTACGTCGTCGATGCCACAATAACTGGAGACGACGGCGTTGAAGAGAAGTTCACAAGTCTTTGCTACCCCGGGGGACTTCCGGGTGTATCGATTGGTTATAACCACCACGGGATGGCATTCTCGGTCAATAGCCTGGCTGGACCAACCGTTGGCAACACAGCGCCGTCCGACTTTGTACTGAGAGCAGTGTTGAGAGCTTCTAGTATTGACGAAGTGAAGGACATTGTGTCAAATGCAGGTTTTGGATTATCGTCAGGATTTAACATCAACGTCGGTTCCATAGTGGACACCTCCACTCAGTGGTCGGTTGAAGTGGCGCCGAGTGTTTCCGAATCGAAAGTGTCCATTAAGGAAATACACGAATCGGATGACCCCGAGGAGTCGACGTATTTTCACATGAATGAGTTTCGTCACATGGGCATCGAGGTCGAAACAGCTGCAAGGTCGAGAGCGAGGTTTGAAAGGGCAATGTCACTTCCGGTGCCGACTTGCACAAGGGATGTTAGGAATATCCTAGGCGATATTGACAATAAGACTTTTCCGATTTTTCGAACTGTTCGCCCGACAGATGAATATGCCACAGTTTGCACCGGAATGTTTGATTTGCTTGACAAACGATTTGATATTTACCTCGACAATCCATCCAAGGACACAGGACCATTATTGACTTTCAATATGCAATGCGGAGCCTAGTTGTCACATACATAACACCACACTGTAAAAAATGGGTTTAGAATGTAAACACATACAAACATATGTTCGTAATTTAAATATGTTTAGAATTTAAACACGTTTAAACATGTTGAGAATTTATTGGGGAATTAAATCATAAATGGATAATATGTATAATTATATATATTGACATTGTATGTGCAAATCAGATTCACAGGCACTTGCATAACGCATATACCACAAGGACTTATAACGAACTTGGTAAAATGTCAGCATAAAAATGTACAAATAAGCTAAGTTAATGGTGACGTTGACGTTTCTGACGACTACGGCCTCCATAGCACGGGTGGTGGCATGAAGGTCGACAAACCAAGAGAACGTTCGTGTCCCGCCGAGTATTTCCCTCATACAGGAAACGGAAGCTGGCAATGAAAGTATATCTGATTACTACAATCGACCCATATTTAGTTACACATACGCCCCGTGAAGATTCCGGGTTAGAAAAGGTCTTCAGCAACCCATGCTTGCCGTAAAAGGTGACTATGCTTGTCGTAAAAGGCGACTAACGGGATCGGGTGGTCAGGCTCGCTGACTTGGTTGATACATGTCATCGATCCCAATTGCGTGAATCGATGCTCATGATATCAATCACTGGATTGTCTGGTCCAGACTCGATTATTTACAGACCGCCGTCATATAGCTGGAATATTACTGACTGCGGCGTAAAACAACAAACCAAAACAAAAAGTTACACATACACGGCTTCTGTATCCCCATTAAACGATAGAACACATAGAAAGCGCCTTTATCAAAATTACTTACAGTGAATTTCATTGGGTATACGGGACTTTCCCACATTTAGACCCTAAATGCGTTCAACTGTTAAACACAATCCTAAACATGTTCAGACCTAAACATGTCAAAATCAGCGACAAGGAACGCGTTCAGGTTTTTGTTTAAGATCTGAACACATTGTTGTCAGTACGTACGGGTGTTTGGGTCATGGCATGACGTGTTTAAATTTGACAACCACGATACAGTCAAAGGCGTGATCCTATATAAGCAGTCACTAATACATGTTATTGTTAAATTCAATCCGACAACGTTAAAGAATAATCAGTACCGATTATCTGCCGAAATAGATTCCATTGGGCGCAAAAGACAAATTCGTAATGAAAAATAGATAAATGGTTCATTGAAAATCAGCGATGACACCGGATATTCGCTAAATAGGATAAACGTGTCCCATTCTACCGGAAGCTCCTGCCACTCACACGATTTTCATAACAAGTATGTGTTCGTTGCCTAACGCCGCATCCAGCACACAATCGAGTCTGGACCACACAATCCAGTGATCAGTATTTCGAGCAATGATCCACTTCCTTGTGATACAACGCAACGCTGTAAAAACTCACGTTTTGTTTTAGTTCCTATTTACCACTCGTCTGTGATTGTCTGTGAATGTCTGTGAGTACTCTGGTGACCTTACGGTCTAATTTGTCCCAAGCCGCTGTGCAGAGTTGCTGGAAATGGCAGTAACAGGATCCGCTCGTTGTGGACCGAATCAGAGAAGGTCTTGCTTGATTTGTGTTCTGTTAATACGCGTACAATGACTTAATAATTTTCACTTGAAAAGTTTAAGTTTGATTTGTTTAAACCGAAACATGTGTACGCATCGACACTGCATTGGGACAGTAGAGTTTATAAAGTATGGACATTAGAAACTTATTAAATTATTGTTTATATTTAATTAGGGATTGACTGTGGACGTTGTCGGTTCATTGAGGTACGAGTTGAAGAACCGATGTGCAAACTGTATGAATCAGCATAGCAGTAACTGTTTACTATATGAGTGAGAGGCATTATGACGATTTAAAGATTATTTCAGTTATATCAGTATGCCAGCTTCAGGATGGATTAAATCCCGAAGTGGTGTTGGTCTCATGCAGGTGCAGGTACAGGTGCAGGTTCTGTAATAGCTGTCAATAAAATGAATCGTATTTTACGTGCGCTCTGTATTTATTATCGTCACCATTCATCGTTTCCTCAGGTGATGGGGTAAACTATCCTTTGAGTAAGTCGACCAAAATACTGAGGAAGCTGATAAACACAAAACGTTATCGGGGCGAATTAAAGGATGCAACTCGGTAATAGTAACGGGTAATAGCAGTACCGTAGGCCTATAACCAACAACTGAATCTCGCACGCACGCACGCACGCACACACACACACACACACACACACACACACACACACTTTTCCGAGCAATATACCGTCCCTTTACTTGCATGATCCGTTGCTCATATTACCAGCAGGCGGTTTGCTTGGCCCAGGCTCGATTACTGAAACCTTGCTGTGATATAGCTGTGAGGTTTTATCTGTGGCTGGGACAGGAATCCTTAATGAAAATCTATGCAGTAGTACCCTCAAAATAACCCCAAAAATTCGATCATGAATACATCTATTTCACATCTAACATCCCTGTGAGTGAGTGTGGGTTATTGCCGCCTTAGCAATATTCCAGCAATATCACAAGAGACACCAGAAATTGGCTTCACACATTGTACCCATGTGGGGAATCGAACCCGGGTTTTAGGCGTGACTTTAACCACTAGGCTACCCAACCGCGCAGCATCCCAGCTAATATTCTTCGAGAAAATTGAAGTACAAATTATTATGGGATAAGTGTGCTGTGCATAACGAAAGGGGCATTAGACTGATGTTTATTCAAGATAGCACTCTTTGTGTCTATCCGCAACTGTTGTTAACAGAAATATCCTTATCAAAGCATGAAATGTGTATATTTGTATCCTTCTTAGGGCCAAAGTCAGCAATATTCCGAATATATCAGGCCCGACAAACCAGTGGTTGATGTTATGGACATCACTGCACTCCGGGGGGACGATGGCCCGAAATCAAGAACCTTGGTAGATTCTAGACGACTATTACAAGCAAGGGGTTAATGGGGACCAATTCTAACTAGGATTCGACCCGATGGGAATACCCTTCATGTCAACCGATGTGCCTAGTCAACAGAATGTGTAAACAGAGAAAAAAACGAACGGCAAATATTGCTTGTTGTCTCATTTCAATCAAATTGGAAATGGATACACCGAACTCGATTTTAATATCGCGTTGCGAAATTCTATGGGTTCAAAAAATAAAGTAGTCTAATACGCAAAACAGTAATTCGACACACACAGTTCATGATGTTTCGAGTTTCAAATTCCATTTAATCATTATATTGTGGCACACTGTTATAATTCCACTTAACCCGTTTGTTATACAATATGGCCGAGATATCGTTGCTGCATGAATACGCATTTGGTTTACATGTTTGCTATCTTACATGGGCACTCTAAACACGTAATGGTGACATATGTTCCACGAACTATGGCCACAAACTGCTGCCTTGATCGTGATTCAGATAAGTCACGACCTAGATCTGGCAGCCATCTTGATTTCTTTAGTCTGAATAAGGTAAGCGTATATTTGTCTCTCGCACCAAGATGAAAGAAAATGGCTTTAAACAAGTATTCTAGGAATAAATTAGTTTAATTAATATTAAACTTGGATTATTCGCTGAGCATAATTTTTAAAAATTGTATTATCTCAAGAACATCCCTAACTATCCTTCCGTGAATAAGAATTGTCAAGCACAACAAGGGCGAGGAATTAATACTCGAAAAAATACGGCCTGTCTCACCCTTATCAGTGACATCCGTCAAGGCCAAATGTCAACAAACACTGTAATATTTTTCAATAACTTAGCTAAAAATGAAATTTATCTGTGATAGCATACATGTATGTTTCAAGGCGTTGTGTGGGAGCAAGCCCCACCAAACCCGTTATTTTGGCGAGGCGGTAAAAAAACTGTTTCTAACTAAAGGAAGGGGCACGTGCACATTCTGTATCAGCACGAAATAAGATATCCGGTATTCTGCTTTGAAATTTGCTTCACTGCCAGAACAGAAAATAGTTCCGTCAATTCCTTCAACTGAAGTGTGGCGCAAGATGATGTAGCTATTAATAACTGACAACCAACTGCCCATTCGTGATGGGTAGTTTAAACAATAGTGAAGTCACAACAGTGTTTGAAGTCAGATGGAAAATGATCACGACTCACCATTGAGGTTGTCTTGAATGGCCGTCCTGCTTGGTCTTTGAATATGTAACCGTTGTATTCAGTCACATCTGTTTTGCTTAATCAAGTTATCTAACATTATGTTCCACAAAATAGGCATCAAGTACAGGTATGTTTGTTTGTTGTTTAACGCCGCACTCAGCAATATTCCAGCTATATGACGGCGGTCTGTAAATAATCGAGTCTGGACCAGGCAATCCAGTGATTGACATCATGAGCATCGATCCACGCAATTTGGATCAATGACGTGTATCAACCAAGTCAGCGAGCCTGACCACCCGATCCCGTTAGTCGCTTCTTACGTACAGTTATGTACATGTGTTAGAAGGATTAAACACTGCAGCTAGTATATTATATATTGTGAGAAAAATGTAAATGCTATTAAATTTTTATATCAAAACAAATATATATTTAAAAGAAACATATCATCATCTGATATGACCAGTCGCCAAAGGCACCGCAGAGTTGCGTTCCTTGGACACGCCGGAAACCTACGATAGTAGGTTCGAATCGCCGGTTCGGACCGATTTTGTTTCCAGGTTTGTAAGCACCATACCCCTGCTCGTGGGGTATTCCGCGGGCTTGCTTCAACGTTAAGCTGACACGCCGTGATAAAACTGGAATACTGTTCAAAGCGGCATTAAACCCAAGTCACACACTCATCTTAAATGACTATTCCAGCAACATGAAGATTGCCGTTGTGTCTTTGCTGCTGCTGCAGACCTGCCGTCTCGCGTTTGGGTGAGTTCTTCAGTTACACCTGTTTTAGTAAATACTAAACACAACGAAACACAATGTCATTGATTAGAACAATTTCGAGAGAGTTAATCAATCTTCCAAAAACATACATGTACCTACATCACCCGGGATTGACGAAAATATTGAGGTTCTGTAATTTGATATGTTTTTCTTTTTCGTTACAATTAAGAGGCGATGGGGTAGCCTTGTGGTTTAAGCGTTCGCGCGTCGCGCCGAAGACCCGGGTTCGATTCCCCACATGGGTACAATGTGTGAAGCTCATTTCTGGTGTCCCCCGCCGTGATATTGCTAAAAGCGGCGTAAGACCATACTTACTACAATTATGTACGTGTGTGGATGATGTGACACTTAATTCAGCCAAGATCTAAGTTCATCAAGTTCATCCTTGGACTGTCAGAACCATATCGCCCATGCTCGTTAGTTTCATCGTAGTGAGTGAGTTTGGTTTTACGCCGCCTTTAGCTATATTCCAGCTTTATCACGGCGGTTTGTGAACACCAGAAATGGGCTTCACGGTTTCATTAGAGGCTGTATACCGATAAACATATATTTTGTCTTGGAAAATATGGGCCAATGTACCCCTGGACTATCAAATGGTCTCTCCTTGATAATTGAAATACTGTCCCAAGCTGTAGCAAACCAAACTTAACTCACTCACTCGCATCTAGAGTAAGCTATTAGGTGACAATAAGAAAGTTATTCAAAACTAACTTTTTCTTCCCATCAGCGCACACGGCTGTCACCAAAACCACCACGGCTTGAGTGAAGTAGACGTTATCGGCCTCGTCACCAACGACCTCGACCACAACGGGGACGGCCACGTGACAAATGACGAGTTCACAAAAGAGTTCATCACCAAGTTTGACCACGACAGTTGGTAGTCACTTTATACCACGTCGCTATCGCAGTATATGTACTTTATACCACGTCACTATCGCAGTATATATACTTTATACCACGTCACTATCGCAGTATATGTTCTTTATACCACGTCACTATCGCAGTATATGTTCTTTATACCGCGTCAATATCGCAGTATATGTACTTTATACCACGTCACTATCGCAGTATATGTACTTTATACCGCGTCACTATCGCAGTATATGTACTTTATACCACGTCACTATAGCAGTATATGTACTTTATACCGCGTCACTATCGCAGTATATGTACTTTATACCACGTCACTATCGCAGTATATGTACTTTATACCACGTCACTGTAGCAGTATATGTACTTTATACCACGTCACTATCGCAGTATATGTATTTAATACCACGTCACTATCGCAGTATATATACTTTATACCACGTCACTATAGCAGTTTATGTACTTTATACCACGTCACTATAGCAGTATATGTACTTTATACCACGTCACTGTAGCAGTATATGTACTTTATACCGCGTCACTATCGCAGTATATGTACTTTATACCACGTCACTGTAGCAGTATATGTACTTTATACCACGTCACTATCGCAGTATATGTATTTAATACCACGTCACTATCGCAGGATATATACTTTATACCACGTCACTATCACAGTATATGTATTTAATACCACGTCACTATAGCAGTTTATGTACTTTATACCACGTCACTATCGCAGGATATATACTTTATACCACGTCACTATCGCAGTATATGTAAATTTAATACCACGTCACTATCGCAGGATATATACTTTATACCACGTCACTATCACAGTATATATACCAGTAGGTGGCGGGGTAGTCTAGTGGTTAAAGCGTTCGCTCGTCACACCGAACAACCGTGTTCGATTCGCCTCATGGATATACTGTGTGAATCCTGGTGTCCCTGATCACAACATGGCCGTAATATTGCCAAAAGACGTTTACATTAACTGTACAAGAAACGGCTGAAGATGCTGTCGGAGAGTTAAGGAGCACTTCTCCAGGATTTAGCACTCGGCAAGAAACAGGCTATGAAAAATCAAAGTTGACAAAATGTGACGAAGTGAGCGCCCATGATTTTCTTAAAGGATATTGAGTAGGATTTTTATGTTAAACTGCGGCATGGTTCTCCCTGTGGGCTAGCACTATAAAATCGACATTAGTCCCGACTCTTACAAGCAGCCACACACACACACACACACACACACACACACACACACACACACACACACACACAAACACACACACACACACACATATATATATTTATAATGTATAGTCTTTCTTTAGCACATTCCTGTTACATCTGTACAATTTCACCTTTTCTGTTTTCCTTGAAAAAGGATTACTCTGCAAGTTTTTGTTAAATACAATGGTGAGGGTGTCCTACGTTGGATAAGTTGTTCCCCATTCAACCTGACTAAAACATGCCTAAAACAAACACTTAACTGGATGGAGATTACTGATCAGGAATTACCAAATAAGAAAATGATTGAACGATTTCTGAACTCAGATTACCAAATAAGAAAATGATTGAACGATTACTGAACGCAGATTACCAAATAAGAAAATGATTGAACGATTACTGAACGCAGATTACCAAATAACAAAATGATTGAACGATTATTGAACGCAGATTACCAAATAAGAAAATGATTGAACGATTACTGAACGCAGATTACCAAATAACAAATTGCAACTGTATCAGCGCTTGGAATGTATGACAATTAGACATTAATCACCTTGATTTCTGATGAAAACCATATATTAAACAATGAACGGACGAGGGTTAACTGTATTTCGTCATCGTGTATTTCAGGCAACGGTCAAGTGTCGGAGGCCGAATTCGTCCACCAATGGCATCACACATACCACGACTCGAAGGAGTTCTCCAAGCGGGTGTTTGAGTTTGTTGACGTCGACAAAGACGGAGTACTCGGTATTCCAGGAATAGGAAAAGCCATTGCCGCCTTCGATTCAAACGGTAAGTGTGCTGTCCGTACCATTCGTCACCACTCGCATGTTTCCGTAACCTACATCCCGGAAGGGCACGAGTTGGTCTCGAATGGATCCGTAATCGGGCCTTTTGTGAAATCTAAAACATACCTGATAATATCTGAAACAATATTACAATTACACTTCTATAAAATATATTTGTAGAAATAAACCGTGTTTCCAAAATGTTCCACTAATGTTTGATATATCCGGAACATAGATAGAACATACCTCGGAATTACAAAATAAAATGTGGAAAGCGAGAGTTTCCCGTAGTAATCTTGAAACTAATCATATTTTAGTGTGAGATGGGTGTTGAAATCTAATGTAGTAATTATATCGTTAATCGTTACATTTTTCACATGTTTATTTCGAAAGGCATATATATACGATTAACATGTTTCGACATTCCTGCAATGTGTTCTTAAATTCGATGGCGGAGGGCAAGATAGAAAATTAACTTATTTTTTAAGCTCTGTTGATCTTTTGGTTGGATATTTATGGAATATCTAAGGGATGAATAAGAGACCCGAATTTCAAGATTGCCATTCAGTGTCAATCAATGGTATTCACTGTTCCTACTTGTACAGACACCAAAATTTCAGTAAAAGTGACATGGAAGTATATGCGTGTCTCTCGCTTCCCTTTCATGAAAAAGATGCCATTTGAATGTGCCAAACATCGTAAACAAAGGCACTCACGTTGGTGTGGAAGTACTATATAAAGTCCAGATATTGCAATTCACATGCTAATGCACGTCGTTATATAAGAGCAATAAACTTCAACGCCACGTTAAACCCCATTTCACCTCACCTCATCTTCAATATCGCCCCTACCCATAACTGCTCGGAGAGCGGTAGGTAGGTGGTTCGATCCCCGACCACGCTACACCAACTGATGTTAAGATGTGGTACTTGTTGTTACTCTGCCTGCCATGGTATTGCAGTGCATACACGTCGCTATATATGGGTAATAATCTTGAACGCGAAATCGTTAAACCCCATTTCATCTCACCTCACCTCACCTCACCGCACCTCACCTCACCGCACCGCACCTCACCTCACCGCACCTCACCTCTTCTCACCGCACCTCACTTCACCGCACCGCACCTCACCGCACCTCACCTCTTCTCACCTCACCTCACCTCACCGCACCTCACCTCACCGCACCTCTTCTCACCTCACCGCACCGCACCGCACCTCACCTCACCGCACCTTACCTCACCTCACCTCACCTCACCGCACCTCACCTCACCTCTAACGAAGCTCCGACACGACCAAGACTTTCGACAAATGTTTTCCATATGTGCAGATTTAAAAGTCATCTTGACCCCTGAACAAACACATGTACCTAATGACTGCATTGACCCGTATATTGTATTTCCTTCCACTGCACAGGTGACAGCCGCCTTTCGTACGGCGAGGTCAAGGCCGCTCTTCTAACGGTGAGTAATCTGAACATTTTGCATCTATTACGTCTTATTATTTGAGTAGGGCACGGGGAATCCAGTCCTCTTTGACGCTGCAAGTCGCTGTGGATCGCTGCGTCCCTTGAGCACGCCAAAAACCTATGATTGTGGGTTCGAATCCCGGTTCGCCCCGATTATGTTTACGGGTTTGTCAGCACCATACTCGTGCTCGTGGGTGTCACCAAAGTAGTTAAAGTCTGAGACCTGCATCATTTCGAGATTCCTCCCACATCAGACTGAAACGCCGTGATATAACTGGAACACTGTTAAATGCGGCGTTAAACCCAACTAACTCACTCGCATAGATTCTAGAAAGGGTTATAAGTTGTAGACATTTCATGAATATAAACTTTTTTCTATTCACTGTTCACGTTATGAGAATCGGGCACGCCAGAAACCTGTGTACGTCCACTACCACAATAACAACTACCAACACTTCCACAATCACTACTACGCCATAACTAACACTACCATTACCACCACTAACACTACTATTACCACCACTAACACTACCACCACCACTAACACCACCATAACTACCACTACCACCACCACTAACACTAACACCACCACCACTTCCAATGCCCCTGCTACTACCCATCTCTCTACTACGTCCACTACCACTATTACAACTACCAACACTTCCACAATCACTACCACGCCATAACTCACACTACTATTACCACCGCTAACACTACCACCACCACTAACACTACCACCACCACTAACACTACCACCACAACTACCACTACCACCACCACCACTTCCAATGCCCCTGCTACTACCAATCTCTCTACTAAGTCCACTACCACTATTACAACTACCAACACTTCCACAATCACTACCACGCCATAACTAACACTACTATTACCACCGCTAACACTACCACCACCACTAACACTACCACCACCACTAACACTACCACCACCATAACTACCACTACCACCACCACTAACACTACCACCACCACCACTTCCAATGCCCCTGCTACTACCAATCTCTCTACTACGTCCACTACCACTATTACAACTACCAACACTTCCTCAACTTCTACTACCACCACCAGCACTACAACTACGAGAACTACCACTACTACCACCACCACAACCACAACCACAACCACAACCACAACAACCTCCTCCTCCACCTCCATCAACTACCACTGCAAATACTATTGAATATCAGAACTTCTTTCGTTTGCTATTTTATTTATGTTTTCTCTCTTCCTGTTTTTTTTCTTTCAACAAAGGAAATTAAAGACAGTAAAATTGTCATGAACTATAAAACTTCGTGTTCTTCGATGAAATCTTGATGCAAAAAATATTCAATCAGTGAATAATTTCAATCAATTTACAGATCTACACGAACTGCCCTTGAGACAAACAAAGGTAGCACAGACAGCACATCATTTGGACTCCTTCAGCAATAGTGTAGTAAACTGTCTAACCGGTTTGATGCTGTTGCAAATTACTTAGCAAATGAGTGTGTCGTGTGATGAAAACACGTGGTTAAAAGGGAACTGTTGTCCAGAAATCTCCTTACCGATTCATGGCGTATGAATTCTGTTCAGGGCAAACGTAAAGTATGACTGTCAGTCCCAAAACGTGAAACCGTGATATTCGGTACAGCGACACAGCGTTTTCATTCACATTCAGTTTGTTTCCCGTTCGGCTGAAAACGTTCGTCTTAGTTGATATTTGTCATCAAGTTGCCAGATGGCGTTGCTTCATTCCAGAATGGCGTTAAGAATGTCACAAAGATATTTTGTGTATCAGACAAATACCAATATTTAATTATTATTTATTATATCATTAATTATGATCATACTTATACTTATTTTTGCGAATGTTAACAGGGGTTTCAAATGAACCTGTGCATAAAGTACTCAGTGAATCAGTGGTTTTACACCACAGGGATTCAGACAATGGGTGAGTGAGTGAGTATGGTTTTACGCCGCTTTTAGCAATATTCCAGCAATATCACAGCGCGGAACACCAGAAATGAGCTTCACACATTGTACTCATGTGGGCTTTCGAACCTGCGTCTTCGGCGAACGCTTTAACTACAAAGCTACCCTGCCGTTCATTAGACAATGGGATTCACACGTTGAACCCATTTAGGAAAACAAGTGCAATGACGATTACAGTATCAAACCAGATTCGTTACGCCTCGCATCTTGTTGGTAGAAAGGACGGGATTCTGATGCGTCATAATAGAATGACAAAAAGATTGACACAGTCTCTATTCACAAATATTTTGCTTGTCAAACTTGATTTTTACTGGAACACATTGACCCATCTTCCCGAGGCAAGGGAGTTAACTGACTATAAAAGTCCAGTTTCCACCCTTACGGACCCTAGTTGCGCCAGGATCCGCTCGTCGGGTGTTCGAGTTCCAGAATTTTATGGCGGTTATAATCAGGCCCCTATCCGTGTTCGTCGCCTTCAGCAAACTGGCTAACATCTACATCCCGCCTCAAATTCGGGTTCCCCCCCCCCCCCCCCCCCCCCCCCGACACACACACATCAAGATGACACTCAAATCGGCGTTAAACCCTTTTCACTCACTCTCGACACCCTTAGCCCTAAGACCGCTTTGTGAAGCTGGACCCAGTTATACCCATTGAGACATAAAATATGTAGAGTATTTAGAGTTTATTATTACTCAGAATAGTTACAGTTAACAAAAACAATTTAAAATGCAAATAAACAGTTTTTCTTCCAACAAAATCCAAACAACCATTGAAAACTGACGTCAGCAGATGGTTCTTAATACTGTCATGAAGATGCGCAAACATATGCTCCTGGGGTCTTGTATAGACCTTCAACTTTAGGGAGCCCCAGTATCTGAAGAAGAAAAGGAATGATGTTCGTGATTATTGTACAAGTGACAAGAAACACACATTTCCAGTAGTAATAACGGGGAAGTGTCAGAGAACAGCCTGTAGTAATAACGGGGAAGTGTCAGAACATCCTGTAGTAATAACGGGGAAGTGTCAGAGAACAGCCTGTAGTAATAACGGGGAAGTGTCTGATAATATCCTGTAGCAATAACGGGGAAGTGTCAGAGAACAGCCTGTAGTAATAACGGGGAAGTGTCAGAGAACATCCTGTAGTAATAACGGGGAAGTGTCAGAGAACATCCTGTAGCAAAAATGGGGAAGTGTCTGAGAATATCCTGTAGTAATAACGGGAAAGTGTCAGAGAACATCCTGTAGCAATAACGGGGAAGTGTCTGAGAACAGCCTGTAGTAATAACGGAGAAGTGTCAGAGAACAGCCTGAAGTAATAACAAGGAAGTGTCAGAGAACATTCTGTAGCAATAACGGGGAAGTGTCAGAGAATATCCTGTAGTAATAACGGGGAAGTGTCAGAGAACATCCTGTAGTAATAACGGGGAAGTGTCAGAAAATATCCTGTAGTAATAACAGGGAAGTGTCAGAGAACAGCCTGTAGTAATAACGGGGAAGTGTCAGGGAACATCCTGTAGCAATAACAGGGAAGTGTCTAAGAATATCCTGTAGTAATAACGGGGAAATGTCAGAAAACAGCCTGTTGTAATAACGTGGAAGTGTCTGATAATATCCTGTAGTAATAACGGGGAAGTGTCAGAGAACAGCCTGTAGTAATAACAGGTGAAGTTTCAGAACAGCCTGTAGTAAGAACGGGGAAGTGTCGGAGAACATCCTGTAGTAATAACGGGGAAGTGTCAGAGAACATCCTGTAGTAATAACGGGGAAGTGTCAGAGAACATCCTGTAGTAATAACGGGGAACTGTCTGAGAACATCCTGTAGTAATAACGGGGAAGTGTCTGAAAACAGCCTGTAGTAATAACGGGGACGAGTCAGAGGATATCCTGAAGTAATAACGACGAAGTGTCAGAGAACAGCCTGCAGTAATAACAGGGAAATGTCAGAGAACATCCTGTTGTAATAATGAGGAAGTGTCAGAGAACATCCTGTAGCAATAACGGGGAAGTATCTGAGAACATCCTGTTGTAATAACAGGACAGTGTCTGAGAACATCCTTTTGTAATAACAAGGAAGTGACAGGGAACATCCTGTAGTAATAACGGGGAAATGTCAGAGGACATCCTGTTGTAATAACGAGAAAGTGTCAAAGACATCCTGTAGTAATACTGGGGAAATGTAAGAGAACATCCTGTTGTGATAACGGGGAAGTGTCAGAGAACATCCTGTAGTAATAGCGGGGAAGTGTCAGAGAACATCCTGTAGTAATAACAGGGAAGCGTCTGAGAACATCCTGTAGTAAAAACGGGGAAGTGTCTGAGAACAGCCTGTAGTAATAATGGGGAAGTGGCAAACAACATCCTGTAGTAATAACGGGGAAGTGTCAGAGAACATCAAGTAGTAATAACGACGAAATGTCAGAGAACACTCAGTATTGATATCGAGGGCAGGTCCGAGAACACTCAGTATTGATAACGAGGGCGGGTCAGAGAACACTCAGTATTGATAACGAGGGCGGGTCAGAGAACACTCAGTATTGATAACGAGGGCGGGCCAGAGAGCACTCAGTATTGATAACGAGGGCGGGTCAGAGAACACTCAGTATTGATAACGAGGGCGGGTCAGAGAACACTCATTATTGATATCGAGGGCGGGTCAGAGAACACTCAGTATTGATAACGAGGGCGGGTCAGAGAACACTCAGTATTGATAACGAGGGCGGGTCAGAGAACACTCAGTATTGATAAGGAGGGTGGGTCAGAGAACACTCAGTATTGATATCGAGGGCGGGTCAGAGAACACTCAGTATTGATACCGAGGGCAGGTCAGAGAACACTTGGCGGGTCAGAGAACACTCAGTATTGATATCGAGGGCAGGTCAGAGAACACCCAGTATTGATATCGAGGGCGGGTCAGAGAACACTCAGTATTGATAACGAGGGGGGTCAGAGAACACTCAGTATTGATATCGAGGGCAGGTCAGAGAACACTCAGTATTAATACCAAGGGCAGGTCAGAGAACACTCCGTATTGATAACGGGGGCGGGTCAGAGAACACTCAGTATTGATAACGAGAGCAGGTCAGGGAACACTCAGTACTGATAACGAGGGCAGGTCAGAGAACACTCAGTATTGATATCGAGGGCGGGTCAGAGAACACTCAGTATTGATAACGAGGTCGGGTCCGAGAACACTCAGTATTGATATCGAGGGCGGGTCAGAGAACACTCAGTATTGATATCGAAGGCGCGTCAGAGAACATTCAGTATTAATAATGAGGGCGGGTCAGAGAACACTCAGTATTGATATCGAAGGCGGGTCAGAGAACACTCGGTATTGATATCGAGGGCAGGTCAGAGAACACTCAGTAATGATAACGAGGGCAGGTCCGAGAACACTCAGTATTGATATCGAGGGCGGGTCAGAGAACACTCAGTATTGAAAACGAGGGGGGGTCAGGGAACACTCAGTAATGATAACGAGGGCGGGTCAGAGAACACTCAGTATTGATAACGAGGGCGGGATAGAGAACACTCAGTGTTGATTTTGAAGGTGGGTCAGAGAACACTCAGTATTGATATCGAGGGCGGGTCAGAGAACACTCAGTATTGATAACGAGGGCAGGTCCGAGAACACTCAGTATTGATATCGAGGGCGGGTCAGAGAACACTCAGTATTGATATCAAAGGGGCGTCGGAGAACATTCAGTATTGATACCGAGGGCGGGTCTGAGAACACTCAGTATTGATATCGAGGACAGGTCAGAGAAAACTCAGTATTGATATCGAGGGCGGGTCAGAGAACACTCAGTATTGATACCGAGGGCAGGTCAGAGAACACTCAGTATTGATAACGAGGGCGGGTCAGAGAACACTCAGTATTGAAATTGAGGGCAGGTCAGAGAACACTCAGTATTGATAACGAGGGCGGGTCCGAAGAACACTTAGTATTGATAACGAGGACGGGTCGGGTCAGAGAACTTTCAGTATTGATATCGAGGGCGGGTCAGAGAACTTTCAGTATTGATATCGAGGGCGGGTCAGAGAACTTTCAGTATTGATATCGAGGGCGGGTCAGAGAACACCCAGTATTGATATCGAGGGCGGGTCAGAGAACACTCAGTATTGATAACGAGGGGGGTCAGAGAACACTCAGTATTGATATCGAGGGCAGGTCAGAGAACACTCAGTATTAATACCAAGGGCAGGTCAGAGAACACTCCGTATTGATAACGGGGGCGGGTCAGAGAACACTCAGTATTGATAACGAGAGCAGGTCAGGGAACACTCAGTACTGATAACGAGGGCAGGTCAGAGAACACTCAGTATTGATATCGAGGGCGGGTCAGAGAACACTCAGTATTGATAACGAGGTCGGGTCCGAGAACACTCAGTATTGATATCGAGGGCGGGTCAGAGAACACTCAGTATTGATATCGAAGGCGCGTCAGAGAACATTCAGTATTAATAATGAGGGCGGGTCAGAGAACACTCAGTATTGATATCGAAGGCGGGTCAGAGAACACTCGGTATTGATATCGAGGGCAGGTCAGAGAACACTCAGTAATGATAACGAGGGCAGGTCCGAGAACACTCAGTATTGATATCGAGGGCGGGTCAGAGAACACTCAGTATTGAAAACGAGGGGGGGTCAGGGAACACTCAGTAATGATAACGAGGGCGGGTCAGAGAACACTCAGTATTGATAACGAGGGCGGGATAGAGAACACTCAGTGTTGATTTTGAAGGTGGGTCAGAGAACACTCAGTATTGATATCGAGGGCGGGTCAGAGAACACTCAGTATTGATAACGAGGGCAGGTCCGAGAACACTCAGTATTGATATCGAGGGCGGGTCAGAGAACACTCAGTATTGATATCAAAGGGGCGTCGGAGAACATTCAGTATTGATACCGAGGGCGGGTCTGAGAACACTCAGTATTGATATCGAGGACAGGTCAGAGAAAACTCAGTATTGATATCGAGGGCGGGTCAGAGAACACTCAGTATTGATACCGAGGGCAGGTCAGAGAACACTCAGTATTGATAACGAGGGCGGGTCAGAGAACACTCAGTATTGAAATTGAGGGCAGGTCAGAGAACACTCAGTATTGATAACGAGGGCGGGTCCGAAGAACACTTAGTATTGATAACGAGGACGGGTCGGGTCAGAGAACTTTCAGTATTGATATCGAGGGCGGGTCAGAGAACTTTCAGTATTGATATCGAGGGCGGGTCAGAGAACTTTCAGTATTGATATCGAGGGCGGGTCAGAGAACTTTCAGTATTGATATCGAGGGCGGGTCAGAGAACACTCAGTATTGATATCGTGGGCGGGTCAGAGAACTTTCAGTATTGATATCGAGGGCGGGTCAGAGAACTTTCAGTATTGATATCGAGGGCGGGTCAGAGAACACTCAGTATTGATATCGAGGGCGGGTCAGAGAACTTTCAGTATTGATATCGAGGGCGGGTCAGAGAACTTTCAGTATTGATATCGAGGGCGGGTCAGAGAACTTTCAGTATTGATATCGAGGGCGGGTCAGAGAACTTTCAGTATTGATATCGAGGGCGGGTCAGAGAACACTCAGTATTGATATCGTGGGCGGGTCAGGGGTGGGGGTCAGTGAGTGGAAGTGCTTATTTATATATACGAACGATCAGCCTTTTCAGTGAGTGTACTAACTAGAATCCCAGCATATGCGACCTTTAGAGTAAATTACGGAAATCCTTTGCTCTAGGGACTTCCAGAATATTTGTTAACCAACCTCCAGAAGGTCCCAATTTCGGCAACAAGAGTAACTGCAGGTGCTAAAACGTCTGAACATATGACTCCTGTCCTCAAGGAAATGTACTGGCTTCCAGTCCGTCTAAGTATCCACTACGAAAAAACTAGTTCATGTTCATGACAATCAACAACGGAGCTCCCGCATATCTGGTCGATCTTGTACAGAAGTACCAGCCATCAGGTCATCTGATCAGCCAATGGCGAGGACTATACCCTCAAGTAGTAAGACATTTGAGGATCGGTCATTTGAAGCTGCAGGACCGTCCTTTGGGAAAAAAAACTCCCACTTGGTGTAAATTCAGCTGTAGAAGACATATCTTTTGAATGAAGCCTTCAACATGTCCACATAAGTGTCTTTCAGATGTGTGCAGGCCCGTTTACGCTTTTGAGCAGTTGTGTGTAACTAGCGCTATATAGATACATATTACGATGTGCGTGCGTGTGTGTGTATACAAGGGCAAGGGAAGAATACAACCTGTACTCACCATAGTTGATATCATCCGGGCAGTCATACTCGCAGCAAAAGCCCGGCCGACGTCGGAAATTGGCACATTTCGGCCTCTCGCACATGACGGAACGGCAGATGACCTCACCGTGTCCAAGGTTGCACGTGCAGGTGACGCATGGGTCAGTTGGATGTGGCACGAGGCCGAGTGGGACCAAAGAGCTGTCTCCCCGGAAGTACTGGTTGTAACAGCCGTATTCCAGGCATTCTGCGCAACATCCGCTTGAATACTGAAATAGTAACGGAATTTTTATTTTATTTAATATTATTAATACATCCACATAAACACTTACAAGCACAATATCGTCCAGATCATGCAGGTTTGGTTCGATTCACCACTAACGGCCCCGCGCTGTAAGGCGCTTCTGTTACGATTCATTCAGACGAAACTATTTTTAGCCGATAGCCCGTATGGAACTTTTCTTGGGCAAAACGCCTATCTGCGAACGTTGCAGTGAAATAAATGCCACACTTTGCTTTAGTGTTCAGGTAGAAATTTAAAAAATAAAAACAGCTTTGAAATCAGAGCGTGCACCTTTAACGCGGGGAGATCACAACAACTAGGTCACAGGGCGATGTAGGATAAACATCCAAACCATAACATGGTATAAACAAAGGTGCTTATCACGTCACCTCACATCAACATCCCTGACGTAACGTCGCTGCGCAATACAATTGAGATAAGCCCTCCATTTGCGGGGGAGTGAGTGAGTATGGTTTTATGCCGTTTTTAACAATTTCACGGCGGCGGACACATTGATTCACATTGTACCCAAGTAGGGAATAGAACCCGGGCCCTCGGCTTGGTGAGCAAACGCTTTAACCACAAGGCTACCCACAGCCTGCACCACCAGCAGGGGTTCATCATTTAATAATCCGCAGATAGAACCCGACATTTTTCGGCCTCGAGTCTCTTTAGTGACAATATTTAGAAAAAAACGTAAATATGGCAAATTTCTACTTGTCCTTATGATACTTTAACTACTAGGCATTTTGCAATGACTCAAGGACCAGTGTCAATTTCTCTCTCTGTTATAATTTATGTAGGGGCTTTGAAATTTGTTAGAGAAAGGGCATATGTCCTGTCAAATGTATTTGTTTGCTAGAAAAACCTGAGGAAAATCTTGTTCAAGTATTTTCTGGAACAAATACTTTTTACAAAACATCAAAAGTTTTAAGATTGTTTTTTTACACCTATAGATTGACATTGTACATCTCTATAAGAAGGATAAAGAATAAAAGCTATGAAATCTAGAGGCATGTTTGTCGTTCATAAAAACGCCCAGAAAAGTTCGTCTTGATTATGAGATTGATGACGTAAACATTGAAAATAATAATTAGAATACAGTTATAAGTTCAAACTAACGAGTTCGGACTCACCCGGAGACACGGATTGGCGGTCTCTGTAAAATTGCATTCCGGGTAACTACAGATGTACATATCATCTGAACCGCACGTGCAAGTGAGACACCCGGATGTTATCGTGAACCCTTCCTCCACGTTGCCGTCTCTGAAGGGACAGCCTCCCGCCACGCCTCCAACGCAGACCACAGCAACGACGATTAAAGTAAGCATGGTTATACGACAAGGTGTTCAGCCTGCTCCCTCGCTATTGTCGCTATAAGGAAACTGGGGGCATTGTGTTGGTTTATATAGGGGATGCTGAAGCTCGGGGGTCATGTCAGAGAAAGTGGAAGGGGATTGCCTCCCAATGACATCTCTAAACAGGATGAGAGGCGCATACGTTCTCAACTTGAGAATTATTTATGGGAATTGCATTGTATTATATCTGCTGCAAAGTTACATTGAGCGGATGTGAAGCTGGAAAAAAAACACTGATTCCACTGCGTTGTAAAGTTTGTAATGCTCCATATATCACACATGGAATTGTACTTGGAATTGTAAACAACCGGAAAGGACGTGTAAATCACGTTTAAGAAAAAAATCATTTTCTAAATCAACAAAGATCAACATAGATATATTATAAGATCACAAACGAAGTCAGGAAGAGAATATATGGATGTCAACTTCTTTATTATGAGTAACACAACGTTTCGGAATATATGCTTACTCCGTTCATTCACCTGATGAAGGAGTAAGCCTATACCCCGAAACGTTGTGTTCCTCATAATAAAGAAGTTGGCATCCATATATTCTCTTCCTTACGTGTATGCCTTTCATAGACCACAAAAGAAGTCAATAATCAGTTTCGAATATTGAACGTTTCATAAGTTAAGTACTTTTTAAGTCTAAAATGTGACAGTGGTGAAGCCTAGCGGTTAAAGTAGTCGGTAGTTACGACGATAACATGGGTTTGTTTACACATATGAGTACGTTGTAAAATATACGGGAAGATCCGGGTTAGAAATGGTCTCGTTAAACAATAAACACACAACGTTGTAAAGCCATTTCTGGTGTGCTCCGTCGTGATGCTGATGGGATATTTCTAAGATGCGGAGCAAAACTATACTTACGCACATTTAAAGTCTTTACGAAAAATCATTATTGGTTTACGATATAAATTCGATTTATTGAGGTTAAATTTATTTTAAATTGAATTTCAGTTTGTGAACGAAAATTAACAGCCAGGAGAAATAGTCTCCACAAATGTTGACAGTTCCCCTCGTGTAAACAAATTCCATGCAATTTCGAAGTGTTAGGCTACGAGTTAGATATTTAACGTATTGCGTTACTCTCAATCCCCGTGTTTGTTTCAATGTAATAAGTCGTCTGACGGCTGGGGGCGTGCCATGAAGCCAATATCCGGCCAGGGGTGATGGTTCACACGTGGGAACGGCCATTGTGTCACTCGGAACAACTCGGTAAATTTCGTCACCGATTTTTTTCCCACGATTCCACCGGAAGCAACCGATGGTCTGGAATGCATGGACTGCGCTTGCACTTGCGTGTTAAACTCCATGTAAGGCGATTGATCTGACGTACAGCGACACGTTGGTTTCAGAATCGTTTAAGTGTAAACTGCTACTTATAAGATTTGAATACACTGGTGTGAGTTATGAATCACTCTTTAAACTGTGAATTTGGTGCGACACAGCATCACTATGTCAAAAACCATTGTTTAGAGATGGAAGCGATGCTGTAGCCTCCTAGTTAAAGTGTTCGCTCTACACCCTAGAGACCCGTGTTCGATTCCCCACATGGGTAAAATATATGAAGCCCGGTGTTGAAGTCCCTGTCGTGATATGGTTGAAATATTGCTGAGAATGGTATAAATCCATACTCACTCATTGTTAAATCCCGAGAGTGATGTGTGAAATAGAAGAGTTCTAAATATATTTTTTAATGTTATTCCATACTGAAGTCGCCATAACCCTTTTCAGTATTAAGTATTCCCGAAAGAAGTATGTATTAAAATGCCATACATTATTTAAAAGGATGTCTAATGTATTTATATTAACAGGATGAAAAAATCAAATCTTTACTTCAGTAACTGCACCGTGGTCTAGTGGATAAAGCGTTTACCCGTAGAGCGAAAGGTCGGAAGTTCGATTCTCGGCAGCATGATACCAAAATGAAGTTAAAAGATGGTAATTGTTGTTACCCTGCCTGACATTAAAACAAGGGCTAAAACCAGACTGGTCGGCTCGGAGTCAGTATCCTGTGTCTGAGTGGGGTATTCATGTTAAACTGCGGGATGGTATCTCAGTGAGCTAGTACTATAATATGCACGAGTACAAGTACAAGCAGACACATACATACGCACGCACGCACGCACGCACGCACGCACGCACGCACCAGACTGGTCGGCTCGGAGTCAGTATACTGTGTCTGAGTGGGGTATTCATGTTAAACTGCGGGATGGTATCTCAATGAGCTAGTACTATAATAAACACGAGTACAAGTACAAGCAGACACATACATACGCACGCACGCACGCACGCACGCACGCACGCACGCACCAGACTGGTCGGCTCGGAGTCAGTATACTGTGTCTGAGTGGGGTATTCATGTTAAACTGCGGGATGGTATCTCAATGAGCTAGTACTATAATAAACACGAGTACAAGTACAAGCAGACACATACATACGCACGCACGCACGCACGCACGCACGCACGCACGCACCAGACTGGTCGGCTCGGAGTCAGTATACTGTGTCTGAGTGGGGTATTCATGTTAAACTGCGGGATGGTATCTCAATGAGCTAGTACTATAATAAACACGAGTACAAGTACAAGCAGACACATACATACGCACGCACGCACGCACGCACGCACGCACGCACGCACCAGACTGGTCGGCTCGGAGTCAGTATACTGTGTCTGAGTGGGGTATTCATGTTAAACTGCGGGATGGTATCTCAATGAGCTAGTACTATAATAAACACGAGTACAAGTACAAGCAGACACATACATACGCACGCACGCACGCACGCACGCACGCACGCACCAGACTGGTCGGCTCGGAGTCAGTATACTGTGTCTGAGTGGGGTATTCATGTTAAACTGCGGGATGGTATCTCAGTGAGCTAGTACTATAATAAACACGAGTACAAGTACAAGCAGACACATACATACGCACGCACGCACGCACGCACGCACGCACGCACGCACACAGACACACACGTGCTATTTCACTTCACCCCACCCGGTGGTCAGGCTTGGCTACTTCGTTGAGTGTCTGTCATCTGTGGATTGCTGCTCATAAGATCAATCACTGGTTTGTCTGGTCCAGAATAAATTATTTATGGGCCAACACCATACATGTCGAATATTACTGAGCGCGACGTTAAACAGCAAACAAACAAACTTTGTCTGGGGGTCCACGTGATTATCCAGCGGAGCTAGCATTTGAGAATAATTTCCACAACGCCGAGACGAATTTGATTCGTGTCCTTATTCCCACATGACGGTCTGCCTCGTGGTAACTGGGTTAAGTGTGGATCCGTGATCTCCGCGTGAGATCTGGGACATAGCAATACTTACTGCTGAAATTACACCAACAATTACCGATTGATAGACTACACACACGGTATGGTCATAAAAGGCGAAAGTCGACGACTGTCGACTTCATTTACAGATGGTGAGTCTCTTCGTTGTCTCCTGGATTCTCGTCGACTCACGCGTAACTGCGTGTTTTGGTGGTCCGTACTTGGAACGTGCATGAAGTTCACACCAGGACCCACTTGCACAAAGCGTTCTTAGCGCTAAGATGATCTTAACTCCCATACTTCAACATAGGCTTACAACAGTCTTAGCGCTAAGATCGTTTTGTGCAAGTGGGCCCAGGTCTTCGTTCCATAAAGAAATATAAGTCATTTAAAAGAATGTTATGGTTGTATGAGTACTAAGGTCGCTTTGTCGAACGGTCCCAGACCTCGGTACATCATATCACTGTCCCCGACCACGGTACAGCATCTCCGGGTCTTTATCAACGGTACATCATCATCCTGTCCCCGACCACGGTTCATCTACTCCTTGTACCCGACCACATTACCTCATCTCAAAGTATCCAGCTCCATTCAATTCATTCGTACACAGTGGACCAAAAGCTATAAAGTAGGTCTACAGTGTTATTATTATCCTTACTTTGAAATAACCTTTAAAATGTCAACACCATGCACTATAGATGGTGTTACCCCTCTAAACGTTTACCCGTGGTGACCAGGGTTAGAAATGGCCCCTAACACCCTAACACGTGGTCGTACGAGGCGACTCGGACGGATGGTTATGCAGTGTAACTTGGATAGTAATTGTCATTATGGCCCGATGTTTTGAATTGTTGCTCATCTTTTCAGTCACTGGTTTGCCTGGTCGAAATTCAATCATTTACAGGACGCTGTGATTGTTGACTTCATCGATATGCAACAAAGATGTGTTGTATCTGATAATCAACAGTCACACTCTCACTCACTCACTCATCCCGAGTCAGTCACTCACTCATCAATATAATTATAGGTTGAAAGAGTGACACCTGTGACGTCACTTTTCTGTATTGTTTTGCAGAAAACATCAGATGAAGTTCATGACAAATGCAGGACAAAACTAAAATGTATTAAAGGAAAAGATATTAACACATTTACATGTCATTGATCATTTACTCATGTGTAGGGTCGGTGGGGTAGCCTAGTGGTTAAAGCGTTCGCTCGTCACGCAGAAAACCCGGGTTCGATTCCCGATATGTGTACAATGTGTGAAGCCCATTTCTGGTTTCCCCCGCCGTGATATTGCTGGAATATTGCTAAAAGCAGCGTAAAACCACACTCACTACTTATGTGTAGTACACTTGTAAACGGTCGTATATGTGACTTTAATGTGAATACATTTATCTACTCTATCTGTTTGTTTGAAGGAAAACATATAACAGTGTATATGTACAATTTTTTACTGCGCAATACATTTATGATAATCAGTATTCTCATTCCTACATCGAACGTGCATTATGTTCGTGTATAAGTCTAAGAATTCCTTCTTCCCGAGGCAGGGAGTTAAATCACTGTAAAAGTCCAGTTTCAACCCTTGCCGAACTAGGCTGGATTTTCTGGGCTCGATCATAGCGCCACCAGTGGCTATTACGAGTCATATCTGTTCTATCACCCTCCTATTGACCAATCAGATTCCAACACAGATATCACTTGCATTTGCTCCAATAAAATTGCGGCGCCCAATCAAGGTCGATGATCAAGATCTATATTGTAATAAAACGGGCCTCATCTCGCGAAGAGCATCTAATCACGTGAGTACTTTGATTTAAAACATGAAATGATTCGGAAAATATCTGTCGATGCCCAGTTGACGTGTACAAACTCTTTGCAAATCCTGCAGTCGACGGAAATCTGCACGTTGAAATCCATGTTGTTTACGAACCGGATGTCGATTTCGTTACCCGATTTTGATTGAAATATGCATATACTCATTAGTCCAGCCAAATTATAAAATTTACTCCTTAATTCCAGCCTAGTTCGCGAATTCGGCAGGGGTGGAAACTGGACTTTTACAGTCAGTCAACTCCCTTGCCTTGGGAGGATGCAAAATAAAAGATGACTGACGAAATATAATATCCGGACATAGGGGCTCATACTACTGACGGTCAGTTGTTAATCTATATGAAATTCATTATTTGTCCATTTAAATCTAATATAATTATACTTTGAAGTCATTTTAAAGTTTCAGTTAAAAGATTCAAGGAGGACAGGTATGGTATAACGAATCAAATTAAATTATGAAGCGCCAAAAATAATAACAGTTGATTATGAACCACGTTTAAACGTTAAGGGATATACATGCCACCCTACACATCCGTTTCAACATAACATAGTCCTATAAAAGGGTCAATTAGTTTCACAAATATCCGCGGATAATCTGTTTTAGTTGTTAAAATATAGCTACGCTGAAAAAATCAAGAATTTTGCTAAATTCCCGCATAGCTACGAAGAACAGTAACAAAATTTGGGAATTTTACGAAATAAAGTAAAAGTCTTTTGCGTTGTAGTGTGAGTCAGTGTTATTAGAATGGGAGTTACTGACGTCTTTTACTGCCAAGATCACTTTGTGGAACGGGACTTGTGTGTAACCGCGATTCCTGGGGGAAGGTTCTGGGATTTCTCTCAACATTTGTTTCGAAGTTGGCCCTTTTCAGTCTATGGACATTTTGATCAGAATAAGTCCCCCGTACTTCATGCTTGTAGGATCTGACTGTCATGGGCAATGAGCAACTTGGCTGATTGTGGATTTCCTGTCCAGCCCTGACAGTGTGTCTGACATCTTCCATCGCAGGGGAGGGGTACAACTGTGCGGCGTCAGGCAACACATTTAGTTTTTTGTGCAAATTGTTTGAGGAGCGGATGCCACCGGTAGGGCAGGACATGCTTATGCTTTTCCTTTTTTGTGGATTTTCACGGATTTTCCGTTATCCATTCACATACGTTTCACCGCTATTGTGCCTTGTACGCCAATGTTTGTTTATTTGTTGTTGTTTAACGCCGCAATATTCCAGCTATATGACGGCGGTCTGTAAATAATCGAGTCTGCACCAGACAATCCAGAGATTGACATCATGAGCATCGATCCACGCAATTGGGATACGATGACATGCATCAACCAAGTCAGCGAGCCTGACCACCCGATCCCGTTAGTCGCCTCTTACGACAAGCATAGCCACCTTTCACGGCAAGCATGGGTTGCTGAAGACCTATTCTAAGCCGGATTTGCGTATTATTTCCGATGTGAACCAACTTTGGGCGTTTATTTCACATGACTCTACACCTTTAAAACATATTATCATCCTTTATTACCGTATGCACAAGCAACATTCTCACGAATGCTATGACCGGATTTGCAGACATTTGTAAGCATGGCTTCCGAAGATGATACCCCAGTGAATAATAGCCTATGGAGTAGGCATTTCTTTTGATAGTCATAGATACATTGTTTGATAGGCATTACTTATATACGTAAATTTTCTTTATTCACAAGGGTTTGTAATATGAGCTTTTCCTTGCGCGAGGAACCATTTGTAAATGTTCAATGTTTACGTGCCTAAGAATGTTTTGTATCATTTCGAATATCAAGGATAAGTATTTAAATAGTTTTCATATGCTCATATCAAAAGAAGTGGGTCCAACATGTTTCCACTATGTGAAATATTGGGCTCACATCTTTTATTTTCACATATGCCTTTGCCAACAATGCTCATATAACCTGATAAATCTTATGGCGATAAGAGTCTGGCTAAGTTATAACATTCTTATGTAAGCTGGCGTTTCCCTCGGGTCACCAGTTTAAACCCGCCCCTTCGCCCTGGTGCAAGTTCTTCAGGCAATAGTAAGTGAGAGGGTTTGTCGAAATCACACCTCAGGCACATAATACAAAATATCAGTACATTAATTACTGGTTACTAGTATTTACAGTAAACTACGTTTATAACGAACACGCTTATATCGAACTGACCGATATAACGAACTTAGTTTTCAGTCACGGCCATTTATTGCATATATGATGTATATATGCTTATAACGAACTACCGTTAATACGAACTAAATTTAGTTGGAGTTCCTTATAACCGTAGTTTACTGTATACAGATCCCTCGCTTCCTTCGGTTCATCCCACCCTTGCGGGTTATTGGAGACTAGAACACAAGCAGATCACACATATCAATGTTGATCTGTTTAACGCTATTTCACGGCGTGTGTTTGTGGGGAGAGGGTAGTACACAGAGACACGAATCATAGACGTGTTTAACTTTGATGAACTTCAATATTTTAATCTGGGCGAATCTGGGATTCGAACTCGTGATGAGCGGGTCTTGGCAGAGCTATGAGAAGCAAATCTGCACCTCTATTGTGAAGCACATTTGACCACTGAGCCACACTTGTCACTTCGGATAAAGAGCACCCGATTTGTTTCATATGACTATGTATACATAACTACGCTTATAACGAACTCAAAGGGACCACTAATGTTAGTTCGTAATAACCATAGTTCGTTATGAGTAAATATATAGCATATATACAACAAATATCAGGGACTAAATAATAAGTTCGTTATATCGGTCAGTTCGTTATAAGCGTGTTCGTTATAAACGTAGTTCACTGCGGTTTATAGCATGTCCATATCATCGGGTGTTCTTTAGCTTCTTTTGAGCAGTATAAATCAAAAGATAACGCTGAACCATTAAACATGGAACTGATGATTATGTATATATTTTAATCACCACATACAATGGCGAATCCAACGTCACCTTTCATAATACTGCTAGAACATTTAACATTTAACATGCTAATGGAACATAAGAAGAAAGGAACACACACACATCTCTTGTTCCACGTATTCGGGTCCACTCGGCTTGTTCCGCGACCCTCATAATGCCTCAGGCAGCCTCGGAGCGTTGATATATACTTTCACTTTGTTATACCTCTATTAAGAATCTTTGAATTGGTTAATCGTTGTCAAGTGACAATTTTCAATGCTCACCCAACAATAGTAAACTGATCCAAACAGGTTTAGTCAATTCGCGTGACTGACAGTGGCAATTCCCTGTGTGGGCTGGGATTATAAAGTCGACATCAGTCAACGCTACATAAGTGCAATAAACTTGATCGCGACGTTGAACCCAATTTCACCTCACCTTTATATAAACTCATAGAGACTCCTGGCTTTACACAAGTTAGACTTTGATCTTGAGAAAACAAATGAAGATAATACCATATATTTACATCCGGGTCACGACTACTTCTAGATCAGAGTTGTGGTTTGCCACGTGACAGTCACGTGCCAGTTCAACAGACCGAGTTAACCCATAAGATTGAGGAGTGCCATATATTGTTCCACAGTGTTGAATTCACAGGCGACTTAGCTCGCCGTGCACAGAACGTACGGGTACCCCCTCTCACAGGTACAGGATTGGTCCGAGGGGACAGTGACGTCCCCTAGAGGCACAATCGGAAGTTCTTCATCCGGCGCGAATGGGTAGGGTTCATCCCAAATGTTGTAGCAGCCATACTCCTCGCACAGGGCCCCTTTAGGCTGAAATCGTAAAAAAGCAAACCTCATATTCGAATCATATGTCAAACACATAGTCATGCATTAAAAAATATATCTGTACTGGACGCAATGCATTTATTAGGAGGTCTTCAACCTTTAAACCAGTATGATGACGTCACACTATAGTTACAGTTGATTCTAAGCCAGGAATTCACTGGCCACCCTGACCATGCATTTTAAGTCAAATAAAACCGACGCAACTATTGGTCATGGTGCCAAATTATAGAGAAGTTATACATCAACCATGATGAGGTCGTAGGCACGCCGAAGACCCGGGTTCGATTACCGACATTGGTAAAATGCGTGAAGCCCCTTTCTGGTGTCCCCCGCCGTGATATTGCTGGAATATTGCTAAAAGCGGCATATCAGTGTCGCTTTCTGCCCTATGTACCTAAGTACCCAGTGCTCTGCTGGAATCCCACAAACCTAACGGGGTAGCACATCGTAAGCTAGGACCCATCCGGATAAAGCAATGGCGACAGAATATATCTCTATGTCGTACAAGTGACTACTTTTACACCTACCCTAGCTTATTCTTTGTACAAAGCGCTGCTCATGCGATCTGTACTACCGTAATAACACCACTTTTTTTTCTAGATGACTCGTCTAGCTGGTACATTCCAGAAGCACTAGAATAATTGAATGGAGAATATAGCATCTTATATCGATCTCGTTAAAAGATACACCTCTATGAAACTTTTAACTAAACTTCTGAATCAAGGAGACGTTACAATATTACGTCTCATCGCCATTTCTACCATGATAAGATGATATAGATGGAACAGAGCTAACAGCGGCGTAAAATCACACTCACTCAATATACAAAGATCTAAGGTACAAATGATGTCTTAAAAGTACACTACCGGGCAAAAGAAAGTATACACTAAAAAAGATAAAATTGAAACAAACAAGAAAGGGTTATTCGATAGCGATGTATTTGATGTGGGTGTCATGGTTGAGTTATGGACAAGTTTGCAGTGTGTCCAGCCTAGTAATGTTTTAATAACCTACGTTGTGTATTTTGTCAAATCCAACTTTAAAGTGTGTTTCTTGTGCCGGGCAGTTTATATTATAGTGCGACATTACTAGCTCTCCCATCCAAGCATTGGCGGCAAGAGTTCAACGTATGTCAAAGCCTGCATGCTGTCCTGATATGAAGACAAAGGCGGTTGTAACGCGTGATTTATGGAAATACCAAACACACATTTCTGTCTGATTCTCATAATTATACCAGGAGATAAACTAGGACTATTAATTACATCCGACCTTTTAACGTCACAATATTGACGGCGACCTTTCAAAAAGGTATCTCCAAATAACCGCTCAGCGGGATCCTGTCTGTTCCACCCTTCCACTAAGCTATATGTTGACCTATTATAATAGTTTATTAGATACGGGAAATGATGTATATAATGAGTATAAAACTATTATCCCTTGTTCACATTAATGCAATGGAGCCTGGGTCATCGCTGACTTGGTTGATGCATTTCATCGTATCCCAATAGCCTAGATCGACCTCATGATGTAAATCAGTGGATTGTCTGGTCCAGACTCAAGTATTAACAGACCGCCGTCATTTAGCTGGAATAGTTTTGAGTGCGGCGTTAAACAACAAACAAACAAACAAGACATAATGCAATGACTGTCCTGTACATTAACAGCGGGCGTGGTGAACACATACCATTGCTTTTACATTCCAACATTCCCATGACAACTACCCTATTAATACAGTGATGCATTAATTTCATAATTTACAGAATATAGAGTAGGGTGTTTTGGTAGGATCTCCAGATATCCATATTGTCTTGGGTCGTGATGCGCACTATGAATTTCAGGAAATTAGTATGGTTTTCAACATTCAAGGCCTTAGTAAAGTTTTACAAAAAGTGTTATGGTAGACATGTGGTGGACATTTCCAAATTTGTCAGATCAGTGACAACAAATATGTCCGATGCAATTCCCAATTAGCATGTGGTATCTGTACACTTTAAAAATTTGTTTAGACCCTAAACACAAACTTAAACACGTCCAATAATTTTGACATGTTTGAAACTTAACATGTTCAAGAAAGTGTTTAACAGCTGAATGTGATGAGGTTCTAAATGTGCATACCCCCTTGACATTTGTTGTATGTAATTATAAAAAGGTGCTTTCTATGTGTTTATTAGCGTTTAATGGGACTACAGAAGTGTGTGTGTGCGTGTGTGCATGGCTATTTTAGCGAGTAGCAAACCACCCTCAATGATGGCTTGGCGTTCCAGGCCCGTTGCTGACGATAGAGTTTGCAGAACATTCGACGTTGAAAAACTTACTGACACGCAAAACTTACAAAAAAGCCTTCAAAAATCTTTTTGATAGAAAGGGTGTCTTCATGTCCATAAAAACTGGCGGTGGCTTTTGTTTTCTAGGCAATACGAGTTGCCTCCCTTACCCATTTCCTTTTCCTTATCTCGACGTTTGATTGGTCGGTAAAATGTTCATTTTAATCAAGGACAGGTAATCTTAGGTCGCGAAAACCTTGTGAATGCGTCCAGAGGTTATAGTGTAGGTTTACAGAAGTGCAAGCCCTGGTGATACAGAAGGGTGACGTCATGTATGAGAGACATACTACTAGCTATTAGCACCTTCACATTTATGAACACATAGATTTATTAACCTCGGCGGGATACGAACCTGGAGACTCTTTGTTTGAGGTCCTTGGGCTACCACCTGTCCTAAAAAGACTGTTGTCGTCACACAAGTCAATGTTCCTAGTCCTCATTAACCGATTTTGGTTAAGTTTTACATTTGTTTGTTAATATTGTACCAAGTTCGTTTTACGTCCTGATGGTATATGCGTTATGCAAATGCCTGTGAATCTGATTTGCTCATCTAGTTCAATATATATTACACATCTTATCCAGATTTGACTTTGACTTTTTGCCTATATGATAATCACCTTTTTTTTTAAATGTTTAAATTTAAAAAAATGTCTTTTTAACTTTTAACAAGTTTAATTCGAAACATGTTTAAACTTCAAACATGTTTGAACGTGTGTAAATTCAAAACATGTTTAGATCATGGGGATGTTGTTTTTATGTGGTGTTTAGGCTGTGAGACGATAGCTCATTTCATGTGTTTAGACCTAAATGCGTTTTGATAGAACACATCAAATGCATTCCGTTTAAGATTTAAATACATTTCAAATTATGCTTAGATCTAAATATGTCTTGTCTGTGTTTACATTCTAAACACATTTTGTACGTGTATTTTTGTCTATTTGTCTCAATCCCCACAAATTTCCAAAAAGAACGTCTCCACTCTACCCAACCATCTATGGAGGACACTTACTTTATAACAAGGGTTGTCAACGAACATGACGTCGTCGCAGATGTTGTCACATATTGTCTCCCCGTCCTGACAAAAGCAGACATCGCACCCGGATTCCCACTCCTCCCAGTCGTCACGGACCACGCCCTCCACAACACAGGCCCCGCTGACCCCCGGGGTCACACTCGCCAACACCAGGACTCCCAACAACAGCAACATCTGCAGCGCAGTGTTAGGAGCGTATGTGCACGTCCTTCTCAACTATTGCCGTATTTATACAAGCGACGTAATGTACAACTCATTAAAGAGTTATCGTCTGTTTCAATATATGAACGTGAACAGCGAAACCTTGATAATCCGAAATATTTTGTTCCCCGTGAAAATGTCCGGATTGTCACATGTCCTTTATGCGAATCGTGGATTAAGTTCGACCTTGCGTACATATAGTGTGAAACCTTGTTAACCCGAAGTTCTTACGACGATAGAATATTATATCGAGTCATCAGAAGCTACATCGGCTTAAACAATAATTCGACCAAATGGACTTCGAGTAAACGAGATTTCATTATATATTTACGAGCGTAAATCGAAACGCTCGCGGTCTCATAGATTTTGCTTTGTGTAATGTAAGATTTCATATTTGAAGAATATCATCTCTTGGGAGACAAAACACCTCGTTACAAAACTGATAACTGCATCTTTTTGGGGGGAAGTAATATAATCCAGAGGATTTGACAGCTGTAAGCGAAACTGAAAAAAAGAGAGAAAAATTGATATGATTCATATCCATAAAGAAACAGATTAGCAATAAAGGTAGTGGGGGAACAATTCTGGCGCAACACGCTTTGGGATAACTAACCCTGAACACTGTTAAGAGATGGGCTGCTGAATTTAAGCCGGACAGAAGCAGCACATAAGATGACTCTAGGTCTGGTCGTCCTGGTGATACCACGTCTGAAACTCAAGTGGAGGTTGTCCACCGCAGGGCTATGGCTGACCGACGAGTTACAATTCAGCATCTCGCTGACATTCTTGTTACCAATTGTAGAATCCACCTTATATGATTTGTTTGTTTGTTTAACGCCGCACTCAGCAATATTCCAGCTATATGACGGCGGTCTGTAAAATAATAGAGTCTGGACCAAACAATCCAGTGATTGACATCATGAGCATCGATCCACGCAATAGGGATCGATGACATGTATCAACCAAGTCAGCGAGCCTGACCACCCGATCCCGTTTGTCGCCTTTTGCGACAAGCATAGTCGCCTTGTACGGCAAGCATAGTCGCCTTGTACGGCAAGCATGGTTTGCTGAAGACTCACCTTATCTGACAAACTCCACATGAGCGTGTTGTCCTCATAGAGGATACCCTGAATGTTGACACCAGATCAGAAGTTGACCCGGATGTACATATCCAGTGACCTTTTCAGAAGTTAGCAGCAAAATTCTGATACATTTTAATGTGACGTTTACCCAGGATGAGACCTGTGTCCATCTCTTAAAGTCAAAACTTCAGAGCAAACACCCCTACCAACGTACAAGCGGATGGTGTCATTGGGCAAAGTACTGGCTTCGGGAATAAGGGAATACTCATGATTGGCTGTAGGCCATCCGGGCCAGAATATGTCCCCAGTACCCGATGATTGCCGCCACAGCCCACTAATAAAGATCGCAGGGCAATAATGTGTGTCAATCTCAGATCTTTTTATTCGATACGATACCTCCCTGCGTTAAGATCTCATCACTATGCACAATTGTCCCTCCTTGGAGTATCAGGACACTCCGATTATGGTATTTGGTTTATCAGCAGTAGTATAAGATCAGTCCGAGTTAATACATATATACAGCTGCGATATGGCTGAATAAGGCGTAAAACAACATTCACTTACTGATGTGTTGTAAATTCACTCGTCAAGTGACAACTTTACAAGCTTAACTATGTAAGTTGAAGCGAGGCTTAACAGTAAAAGATGGTAGGGGGCTTAACAGTGTAAGTTGATGCTAGGCTTAACAGCGTAAGTTGATGCGAGGCTTAACAGTGTAAAGCGATGCGAGGCTTAACAGTGTAAGTTGATGCGAGGCTTAACAGTGTAAGTTGATGCGAGGCTTAACAGTGTAAGTTGATGCGAGGCTTAATAAGTGTAAGTTGATGCGAGGCTTAACTGTGTAAGTTGATGCGAGGCTTAACTGTGTAAGTTGATTCGAGGCTTAACTGTGTAAGTTGATGCGAGGCTTAATAAGTGTAAGTTGATGCGAGGCTTAACAGTGTAAGCCGATGCGAGGCTTAACAGTGTAAGTTGATACGAGGCTTAACTGTGTAAGTTGATGCGAGGCTTAACAGTGTAAGTTGATGCGAGGCTTAACAGTGTAAGTTGATGCGAGGCTTAACAGTGTAAGTTGATGCGAGGCTTAACTGTGTAAGTTGATGCGAGGCTTAACAGTGTAAGTTGATGCGAGGCTTAACAGTGTAAGTTGATGCCAGGCTTAACTGTGTAAGTGGATGCGAGGCTTAACAGTGTAAGTTGATGCGAGGCTTAACTGTGTAATTTGATGCGAGGCTTAACAGTGTAAGTTGATGCGAGGCTTAACTGTGTAAGTCTTTGCGAGGCTTAACAGTGTAAGTTGATGCGAGGCTTAACTGTGTAAGTTGATTCGAGGCTTAATACGTGTAAGTTGATGCGAGGCTTAACAGTGTAAGCCGATGCGAGGCTTAACAGTGTAAGTTGATGCGAGGCTTAACTGTGTAAGTCGATGCGAGGCTTAATACGTGTAAGTTGATGCGAGGCTTAACAGTGTAAGCCGATGCGAGGCTTAACAGTGTAAGTCGATGCGAGGCTTAACAGTGTAAGTCGATGCGAGGCTTAACAGTGTAATAGATGCTAGGATTGACTGTGTACGGCGGTATAATGTTTAAATCTTCCACTGAAATATAACCAAAGGACACTGTGAAACAAACTGTAGTGAAAGCTACAAACCACCTAACATGGCGGAAATACCCAACTGTGAAATGACACAACTGACGAAATTAAACACGCGTCAGCCATTGATCATTGCACTTTACATGCCCCTACATGTTGTCAACTACAGTTTAATTACTGCATGCTATTATCAACATCACATTGTTCAGTGAATGTTGTCCATGTAATGTTTCGCAAGCAGATTGTGTTTTATTGACAGAAGTAAAAATGTCCAATGAAGTGAAGATCCCGGTTAGAATAGGTCTTCAGCAACCATGTTTGTCGTAAGAAGCGACTATGCTTGTCGTAAGAGTCGACTTACGGGATTTGGTGGTCAGGCTCGCTGACTTGGTTGATGCATGTCATCGTATCCAAGTTGCGTAGATTGATGCTCATGATAGCAGTAGCTGGATTGTCTACTCCAGACTCGATTGTTTACAGATCGCTGAAATATAGCTAAAATATTGCTGAGTTCGGCTTTAAATAACAAACAAACAATCAGGAGTAAGAATTGGGGAAGGAATTCTTGGTCAATTATTGTGTCTGGGGTTGCAGTATTTCTTTCCATGTGTGATGGAATATGTAAATGTGTCATACAATTTAGGGTGAATGATTGGTTAATCAAATCAAATCTGAGATTCGAGCCCATTCGATCAGCGGATCGTGGCACGTCTAATGGACGCCACTCTGCACAATGAATTCCGGCACAGCTGTGCCGCCCATTAACATATATTTTGCCTTTGAATTGAACCTTTGAAGCTATATTTAAGTGGCGAATGTCTCCCTATGTAAGTCGCGAATGAGACCTCACACGTTTTACACATGCACGCCTGTGTAGCATGACAGACGTTTGTACGTCTGTAAATAATCGAGTCTGGACCAGACAATCCACTGATTGACAGCATGAGCATCGATCCACGCAATTGGGATACGTTGACATGCATCAACTAAGTCAGTGAGTCTGACCACCCGATCCCGTTACGATCCTCTTACGACAGGGGGTGGTCGGGTAACCTAGTGGTTAAAGCGTTGGCTCGTCACGCCGAAGACCCGGGTTCGATTCCCGACATGGGTACAATGTGTGAAGCCCATTTCTGGTGCCCCCCGCCGTGATATTGCTGGAATAAAGCAAAGCCAGTAAATATCTTATCACTAAATCAGTAGATCAGTTTTATCGCCTAATGGCAAAGCTCAATTTGTGTTTGTTTGTTGTTTAACGCCAAACTCAGCAAACATTCCAGAGCTATACGACGGTCTGTAAATAAACGAGTCTGGGCCAGACAGTCCAGTGATTGACATCATGAGCATCGATCTCCGCAACTGGGATACAATGACATGCATCAACCAAGTCAGCGGGCTTTGACCACCCGATACCGTTAGTCGCCTCTTACGAAAAGCATAAGTTGCTGAAGATCTATTCCAACCCGGATCTTCACGGTTCAACTGCTCAAGTAAACGGTGAGGTGAACTGGGGTTTAAGGTCACGTTCAAGGTTATTGCGCTTATACAGCGACGTGCATGCTCATGTGTGTGTTTGTAACACTGCAAACACGAAAACGTCGTTTTTTTCCGTATATGGTCATTGGACGGAAAAACGACGTTATTTGGACGTTTTCAAACCATCGTTTTTCCGTCCAAATAACGTCGTTATTTGACATCGGAATTTACTGGGAGAGAACGATAGCGTTAAGCTCCTCCCTTTCTTGATTGACATTGTCAATCAAGCAACAGCGTCTACCGGTATTTCTACTTCTCGGTTTTCATTGGTCAGTCCCCGCGTGTTAGATTACAGGCCCGCGTTTGACGCAGCACTCGAAGCGCTTAGCGGAAGTATTGAAATCAATCGTTCTGCGCATGCGGATTACTTAATGCCTTGACCAAATTTTCCGTTCTGTGCATGCGCGATTTCGCGTATTGTTTCCTAGATTTAATGTCACTACTATTTGACAATGGTTCATAAACACAGTCACGTGAAGGTTCGGAATCGTAACGAGTAACTCCATTTAAATTGAAGAGTATCCCCAGTGATATGGGAGATTCCAAGATGAAACTATTCTATGGCTATCTAGGCTGCCACCCAAACCGATCTAAACGGGACCCGATAGCTTATTGTATGCTATATAGTCATATGGAAGTGGACAAGAACTATACATTGTATTCCGGCCGATTGTTCTTGCATTTACTTATAAGTCAGGAAAATGGACTTAAAAGGGGAGTTGTTGAATGTAATTATTTTAATTATTAAATGTTGCCTATACACTAATCTGGACGAACTTCTCATTGTTCTGTTTATGTCATCCTATATACTATTAGTATGTT